TATATTGTTGATTCACATTATATGAATGTGTCATATTTATCCCGTTCCCTTTTGGACATTTAGGCCATGTGCATTTTTTGCTTTTATAAATAATGAAGCTGTGCATATACTTACTCATCACCTTTGTATACAACTCTGATTATGTCCTTAGTATAAATTTCTAGATGTGGAAGTCCTGGGTCAAAGGGTATTCAAAGATTCTGATATATGTTGCAGGAGGGTTGGAGGGCAAAGTATAGAATTTCATGCCTCAGTTCAAGGTATGACATATGAAATGAGCTGAAATTTAGCTGTTGCCTGAAATTTGTTGCATGCCTCTCTCCACAGGTGGCCAAAGCATTCTGGATGGCAATTGGGGGAGACAGAGATGAAATTGAAGGTCTTTCATCTGATGAAGAGCACTAAATTGTTCATCCTAGGTTTTGACTAACAAAGATGCTAGTTCTCTCATCCTGAGATATTTCCCTACTCAACCCGGTTATATTTTGCTGAAATCCCATTATCATGTTGGCTGCCTAACTTATTGATAGGGTCCCCTTAATTTTAGTTTTTAGTGGGTAAGGAGAAGTCTTTTCTCTCTCAGTATATTGTGAGGGTGTGAGGAGTACAATGATAGTAATGAGTGAGAATTTGGATTTTCTCTGTTCAGGGAGCTTGTGGCTCTGAGCCATGATGCTTCTTTGGGGAAGAAAGGAGGCTGCTGCAGATTTGGTTTGCGCTATAGTATAGGTGGGGCCAAAATCAGTGGCCCACAGGTTAGTATCCAACTAAAAAAATGCTTCTGGGCATTTCTTTTGAAGTTCACTGCTAGAAAGAATTGAAAAGCCAGTGTGAATTTTCAGACTATAATAAGTGAGGCAAAAATTTCCTACTGTGATGGGGATGAAACAAACCCCGTTCCCGAGTTGTTGTGTGTGAGAAAGAGAGGAGAGAGAGATCAGAGATCGCTGCCAAAGTAGCAACACCAAGGGGTGGGTGAGGATGTGAAATGTCAGGCAGTGAATTCTTGAGCACCTTGTTTTACTTCCTGGTTGATAGCTCCTCTGTGTCCTTCCAGGACTATACCCCTGAGGGAATCCCCTTTGTTCTTTATCCTTTGTTATGTTTGAGTGAGTCAGCCCTAGAGGAATTGATCACCAAAGGGAAAGTTCCCAAAGGCAGAGTAGAAAGTACAGCAAATAAAAATCCTCCTTTCTGTTTTTGTAGACATTTTTGTAATGCATGTCATTAACCTCGACTGCGATAGTTACTCCCCTGGCTCTAAACAGGCCCAGAGCACTGTGTATGAAGGTGCCGGCGTATGGGCTAAAAACCCCATTCACACGGCATGGCAAAAACACAGGCTAGGTCACAAGCAGAAGCAAGGTTCATGCCCTCTCCAGGCACCACCTTAACAAGCACTGCAACACCTGAATCAGATGGTAGAAGGAATGGAATGCTACAGGCTCAGGTGTGGGCCGGAGCCACCACTGAATCAGATGGTAGAAGGAATGGAATGCTACAGGCTCAGGTGTGGGAAGAGACACCGTGGTGATTAGAGCACTCAGGAAGAGGCATTCCAGGCAAAACTGGAAGCTGTCTTGCTTAGTGACCTTTTTTTCCTCCTTCCTTTTTTAAAAAAACTGTTCCGAAGGTCTTTGAGTCTGTGGTTCGCCACCATCCCATCAGTGTTTTCTGAGGTGACTTCATTAGCCACTGATTAGGAATGTAAGGGAAGTTGGCTCTGAGGTTGCAAAATGAAAGGTAGAATAAGCATGTTTTTCTTAACACATGGAAGGTTTTAGAAAATATATTAGGCCACATGGTTAGAGAAAACAGATGAGAAAAAGCTGTGAACTTGATTTTGTGGATTAAACGAAGCCAGGTGATTAAAATGTGATTTATTTATAAAGTCTGCTAATGTGTATTATTATTTTGTTGTTTTTCAGTAGGAAGTGTAAATGGGGGAAGCCTTACATCCTTCATTGGATTAGACATATACAAGGGTACTCCAAAAAGTTTGTGGAAAATAGAATTAAAAGACAATGCAAATCTTTCCATGAGCTTTTTGATGTAACTTTGCAGAGTGAGCAGTCTAAGAGTTTGTTAAGCTCACTATTTTGGAATCCACCGTGCACATGTATATCAACTCATGGATTTAAGACCTCAGCTGTCTGGGGCCTTCTAGAGGACATGTGGGATAAAGGTGTCTAATGGTATCTGCTAAAGGCCCATGTTAGGAAGAATGACCGTGAGCTAATACTGCAGTAACAGTTGCAGTCCATCTCATGTAACCTATGTACACACTACCACAAGTTATTATGGACCGTCCAGCTGGGATTTAAAATAAGAGATTCGGCTTTTTTCCTTAAACATATTTCTCTATTTGCGTTAACAGAGCGTTTGGCACGTGGTAGGCCCTTAATTTTGGTTGATAAGTATGGTTCCTTTTTGGTGAAAATGATTACAAAGTTTGAAGATACATGAGTGTTGGAGGGTAGAAAGAGACAAGAGTAAACTTTTTTTTCCCTGAGAAAATCATGTGTTATGCATATTTCTCTATTTGCGTTAACAGAGCGTTTGGCACGTGGTAGGCCCTTAATTTTGGTTGAAAAGTATGGTTCCTTTTTGGTGAAAATGATTACAAAGTTTGAAGATACATGAGTGCTGGAGGGTAGAAAGAGACAAGAGTAAACTTTTTTTTCCTGAGAAAATCATGTGTTATGTAATTTTAGAGTGATGAAGACGTAGATATTTTTAGAATTTTAAAATATGCTATCCTGCCAGAGTAAGAGAAGATTGACAGAACCAGCTTGCTTGCTCTCTATTTATAGAAATTGGCTGCATCTAATTCAGAGAAGCTAGAGGTTCAGAGAAGCTAGACTTAGATGGCTGAGTAATATGGGATGTGGTTCAAGGACCATAGAGCATGTCAGGCCATTCCTGCGAACTACTTATAACACATGAAATGTGATATATGGCTAATTTCATGTTCCCACTGTGGAGAGGTGGGGATAAACATTTTTGCCATGGATTGTCAGATTCCTTTAACCTTGGGCCAGTCTCTTTACAATGGCCATTGAGAGAGCATGTGGAGTGCCCCTTGCCCTGCCTTGGCCTGCCATGGAAAAACAGTCTTAGAAGAATCACTGTCTAAGGGTAAGATGAGAGCTCTGTGAACTATTCCAAGCTTGAGTGTTTGCTGATGCAAAGCTAAGTTTAGCAAACATGTGTCTAGTGTGGTCAGGGGTTCTGACTCATTGAACGTTCTGATTGATGGAGACAGAGTTTCAGTGAATGCTCTAGTGAGTTAGCTTTGCACTTCACCCCTCAAAAGTTTTACGATAGGCACTTTAGCTACAGCATTATGTCACTAAATACTAGGTGGAGAAAGTGTAAAAAATCTGGTCAAGTGTACTGAACCTAGTACTGTGTTAGTACATGGTCGGTTTGAAAACAGCACCCTAACTATTAACTTTCCCGTAATTTGTATGTCTCATAAAAGTAGAATGCTGACTGTGCAGGACAGAATTCTAGTTTTTGATTTAGATTCCACTTAGGATTCAGTTTAGTGACCCATTCTTACACCTTCGAAATGTAAACTCTTGCAGAAAGGGTCTTAGAAATTCTCTAAGTTTCATATTTTGGCATTACCTAGGTCTGTTATTAACATCACAAGTCTTGTGCTGAATGTAGATATCTTTACTCAGAGTTAAGTTCTTCCAGAATAGAAAGTATCTTGCTCAATTCTAACTTGTTCCTCTGACTTGCAGAATGAAGAATTAACAGTAAGAGGTAATAACAATAGTGTGAGCCTTTTATTGGAGCACTACGGAGCCCCACTCCAACCCTTAGTGATTTACAGTTCTACTCTGTTTCCTTTTGGCAAAGTATTGATTCAAAACCTGGCTCTGATGGTTATTACTGCATCTTTGGAACATGGGCTTGGGGGAAAGTAAAGAAAATTTTTCTTCTAAAACCCTTTTGTGAGTATCTGTTGATAGGCCCAAACACTTTCTCCCCACAGCTACAGATCCAGAAGGCATAAATAGGCTACATAAAGCCATTCTTGCCCAGTTTACTAACTAGGAAGCCTCCCTGGTTCTCTCTTATGAAGGAAATGACCAATCACTGCCTCTGCCCTTTCTGTTATTAACCAGGTGGCTTTAATCCTATAAGAATGTGGCCTAAGTAAGGCCTGGAGTGAAACTTTATGGAAACAGCAGCATAGTTTAGGAGAAAGAAGATTATTTTAATCTGAAATCCAAGAACATGGTCTGCACCAATTTTTCCTTCCCCCCAAATTCTCAGGAAATCATTAATGGTAAAGTTAGATGGCCTCAACCTTGTTCTACCCTGGTGAGAGCTGAAACAAGGATTAAGGGTCCAGCCAACACTGACTGTGAACCTTGTTGGTGTGAGACTCTGAGTTGGATGTGGCAGAGAATACAGACAGAAGGATATGGTTTCTCTTCCGAGAAGAGAAGCTCAGAGTCCAACTCAGGAGGGAGTAGGGGGCAAGCAAGCCAGGGTCACAAAAGACAGAATGCCAGGCAGAATATAAAAAGTGCTGTAACCAGCCTTCATTGCTGTGGGAAGGAGAGAGCAGAGTGGGTTGGGAAGAGCATGAAGTGCATCTTAGAGCCATGGTTCTCAAACCCCAGAGTTTCTGATTTAGTAGGTTTGGGGTAGGGCCTGAGAATTTGCATTTCTAACATCCCAGGTGATACTGATGCTGCTGGTCTGGGGACCATACTTTGAGAACCACACACTTAAGGGAAATAATACTTGAATTGAGCTAGAAGGATAAATAATTTGGGCAGATAAATGACTGGAAGCAGCAAAATTCTTAGTGGAGGTTATGGCATGAACAAAGGTATGGAAATAAGAAAGCAAGGGGATATTTTGGGAAACCCAAGTAGTCCAGTTGGCGAAATGGTGGTAAATAAGGATGGAGTGATGTTGGAGAGGACCTTTGAAATACTACCTTGTAGAGTCTGTACCTACCCTGGAGGTAATTGAGGAGCCAAAGGTTTTTGAGCAGAAAAGGCATCTATACATAATTACATTTTTTTTGCCATGGATAGAGAAGTAGAGGATGGTAGTAATTTTGCCATCTATTTATTGGCCCTGGACTAGAGGGAGAGAAATTAGGAGAATTTTGGAATAGCTGTGATAAAAGGTAATCAGGAACTTTTGGCGGTATTCTTTCAGTCATATATAAGGACTGACCCTAGGACAGCACAGTGGAAATGGGTGTAAAAGATATTGCTAAGATAGAATCTACTACATATGGGTACTGATTGATTTCATTTATTTGGCAAAAATATGTGGTGGCAAGAAGAAGCAAGGGATACAAGAATAAAATATATACCCTGCTGTTAAGGAACTCGCAACCTAGAGTGGGAGACAGACACAGTTAACACACCGCAGGGTAGGAGACTGTGGCAACAGAGACAGTCCTGAAAGGTTTCCTGGAGGAGCTGTCTGAATTGAGTCACAAAGTATTAGTAAAAGTTAGCCAGGCGAACTGGTGGCATGTGTCAGAAAGGCTGGGAAGCAGGGGATGGAGGCTGAAGAAGAGAAGTCGACATTCCAAGAAGAGGAAAGAGCATGAGCAGTCATGAGGCAAGGATGGCACATGAGGAACTATAGGCTGCTCGGCTGTGGAGCATAAGGGAGGGAGAGCTAGACAGGGGCAGGTGATGAGGGCCAAGTGTTCCGTGGTCAAGACCTTAGAATCTGTGCTGGGGGCCGGGGGAGGGGCGCCGTCTACTGGGAACATCTAAGGTCAGATAGGTTATTGGGGGCAGTATGAATGATGCATTCATGGGCAAGGAGGCTGGAGGCTAGGCGACTGGTTAGGAAGCAGTTGAGCAGGTGCTGGAGGTCCTGCAGTCGAGGGTGGGGAGAGCAGAGACTGGTGAAACAGGACTGATTGGAGGTGGGGAGGG